AGGAGGGACTTTAAGGAATTATGACATCATATAAATATAAACACATATAAGTCCATAATGCATATACAANAGGAGGGACTTTAAGGAATTATGACATCATATAAATATAAACACATATAAGTCCATAATGCTTTATATGTGACATTACCTCATATGAAAAGTATCAATATTTAAAGAAGGGATCAATAGCTCATAAGAAATGAAATGTCAACTAAGTTACACACAAGTACTGCTTTCACATGAAGGTTCTCAAATTTTCAAAAGCTTCTACTGGCATTATGCTGATTTTAATGTACTTTTTTCATTATAAAGTTGATTGTAATCAACAAACATAAACATTTCCATATACTCAGCAATTCATAAAAAATTTTACATAAATTTTAAATTTTTTTTAAATTTCAAATTTTACATAGTAGTAACATCATTATCTTTCTTAACCTTATGTTCATTTTCAAAATGTTACTTTTGGAGGTAGTAAATTCGTTTAACTCATTTAGGTATTGATGATTAATTTGAAGCCAATCAATCATCATAGTTTTAGTATTTACTGAGAATACTTATCAAGAAAGCACCTACAATGTGCTTTCAAAAAACACATTACATTTCACTTTAATCAATAAGAAAAAACAGACTATATGTCAAGGTGATATGCTGATTCACCTAAATTCTATTTCAAACCACAGAATGGTAATATTCCAGAAAGGTATTTACTTTGAAGAGTTTTAATGTGATTTTTAAAGAGACAACATGAATATACATAGGAAGAAGACAATGTCAAGAAAAATTTGTCCTAGGGATTTTAACAAAATTATTTTAATGGAGGAAAAAGAATTTTGAGGTTTTAAAACAAAAGTGTTTCTTACAACAAAAGAGCCAAAATTAAGGGCTGACATATACTTTCCTTCAAAGATCCCCTAATTTGAAAAATAATATTCTTAAAATTCAAACCAATGTTTCCCAAACCATGTTCACTAAGGGAAAATGTTCCAGATAGAAAACTTGCACTACAAAAAACAAAATGTCTATGTGATAGATATAATATCATATATGATTATTCAAGAAATTATTGGAAAGTTTATTATAATATGTTTCAAACACTGTTCTGGAAGTGGACTAGAAAAGTATACCCTACTACAGCTGGTTTCTAGGGCTGCTGTTGAGCTACTGGGAGATAGCCAGTCTTTATGATACTAGTCAGGGCAAGCTACATACCCAGTATTCGTAAGACGTTTTCTCCATTCATAAATCTTCACAAGCACAAATTCGTCACTGTACAATTTCAGCATCTTTGTTCACCCAGGCTTATTATTTAGGGACTGATTGTAATGATCATAGAAATCCCAAAGCTGGAAGTCTTTCCCAGGGTGATAGAACTAATTAGTGGCAGGACTAGAGTCAGAAGTCAGGTATCCTTATTCTCACTTCAGTATGCTTTTCCACTACATGATGTTGTTATAATTTGCTTAGTTACTTAGCATTCTTGGTACATGATTTGCATGATGGTCCTTAAATACTACAGAAGATTACATGACCTCTCCACTGCAATACCCTGAAAAAGCACATTTATAAACTAGGTGAATTTGTCCTGAGCCAAGGGAATACTTGTTCACTTGTTCTCTGCCTCTGCCAATAGGAAGAAGGAGCTTGGAGGAAGCAGAGGGTATTGTGCTTTATGGAGTCACTGATAAAATGAAAACATTGGGAGTTCTAAGAGGACACAAACTGGCTGCCTGTGACAAACCCAGGACTGAGGAAAGAGCTGCTGCTGTCATAGGTAGCTAGTTGCCAGTAAGACATAAATCAACAACTTCAGGACTATAGGAGTAGCATAAGGAGACATTAGATAGGGTGCTTGAAGACCTTTCTACCTGAACTTTCCCAGACTCTCATCTCTACCTTCCACCAATATTCTGAAATATCCTGATGGAGTAAGTATAGCAAATATAAAAGGGGATCAATGACAATGTTGCCTGTTTTTCTACTCAACCAGGGGATTTTAGTATCAACAAGTTCTTGCTGCCAAACCCCAACCACATGGGGATCTGAAGGCATTAAAGAAATTAGAAGTGAAGGATCACAAATAATAGTATTTGTGGGCTACATTATCAAATCAAAACTCTAGCCTGGCACATGAAGCTCTCCGTAATCTAATCCCAGACTATTTTTCCAGACTTATCTCTATAAAACCTGCTTGTTTAGTCAAACATACTTATCTACCATCCCTAAAACATGATACTGACCTTTTCTCATCTTGTGTTTTTTCTCACTCTATTTCCTCTCATTGAAATGCTGCACTTTCTTTCCACATATTCAAATCTTACTCATTTTTCTTCATTGCCTAGCTTAATTTCTACCTACTCTATAAAGCTTTCCTTAGCCAAGCTATCTCTCTCTAATGACTTCTATCTACTCCACTGCCCCTGTACTGGTGGTCCATCAGAGGCAAATTGATAAAACTGTAAGAAGGAAGATAAGGGCAGTCTCTGACTACATCAGGGAGCCAGAAGTGGAATCTATGGCCAAGCAAAGTCTAGCCATGACCGATGGAAGATCATCCACTAGACACTCTGAGACCAAGACAAGTGGTCTTGTCTTAGAAGTGCTCAAAGACATCAACAGCCTGTAACATGATAGATTTGCTTTCCATATATGTCTCGGACTTATTTGTTCCCTAGGCATGTGCTNCAGAAGTGGAATCTATGGCCAAGCAAAGTCTAGCCATGACCGATGGAAGATCATCCACTAGTCACTCTGAGACCAAGACAAGTGGTCTTGTCTTAGAAGTGCTCAAAGACATCAACAGCCCTGTAACATGGTAGATTTGCTTTCCATATATGTCTCGGACTTATTTGTTCCCTAGGCATGTGCCTCTCTCTTCCTGTCCTTTATATGTGTCCAATCTCTCTGTCAAAGCTGGGTCTATTTGTGGGAGACCAAAACCCAGTTTTACGGGAAAGATGCTTAGCTGTTAGTTTTCTTACTATGTTATTTCAGTAAATGCCTTGCTTTCAGAGAACTGTATCCTTTGTCTAACTACTGAAAGATAACACATTGTTTGGAGATCGTAAGTTATTATAATCATATGAGTGGGGCTGCACAGAGAAATTGAACTTGTGGAAGCTGTCCCATAGGTCCATGTGGGACTTATCCTGCAAAGTGCAAGGTATTTCCATGGGTGCTACATGTATAGTGCTCATCTTCCCTTACCATCATTTACTACCATATATTTTGTTATCTTTTCATATTTATCTATGTTTTCCAAGTAGATCCTTAGCTCCTTAAGGAAAAAGACTATCTTAGACTTCTTGATAGCCTCTCCTATTCTCCTCAATGGCTTGTAAGTAGGTATTGGATAAATATTTCTTAATATAATTTAATTTTGATGACCTATTTACCCAGATCCTATAGGAATATTTTCATTTCTCTTTCTAGGATATAATCAGAATTTGGCAGATAATTTTTCCTGAGGATATCAATATAAACTAGCATTATCTACAAAACTGACAATTAACAGATATTTTATACATTAATAAGGTGAATAATTTTCCCCAAATTCATAATTTGATCACAAGAATGAACATGTAGATTGCCATATTGGCCTGAATAGAATCAATTCTCCCCTCCCAACATCTGAATGTAGGCCACACTTTAGGCAAGCTGATACGAGTGAGGGAGTAGAAGGAGAAGGGATATATGGCTTACATCTGGGCCAATGTGCACTGAATAAACAATTGAAAATTATCTTGTATTTATCCATAGCTGTTACATACCTGATTTTCTAGGTCAGCCTTTTTTTGTTTATTTAATTGAAGTGTATCCTGAAGCCTGGCCAACTTATCCTGAACCTCTTTAAGTGCTGCTTGCTTCTTTCTAAGACCATCCATGGCAATTTTAAGTTCACCTTCAGCCTGGGCTAGCTTGATCTTTTTGGGTGCTACAACTTTTGCCACTCTACGAAAAGCAACATAAGTAATTGGAATATGTATCTAACATTTTATAATGCATCATTATACTCAAATATGCATTTGTAGTTTCCTCAGTACTAACTAAAAACTGATAATACAATTGTTTTTTCTAATATGACATCAAGTATCAATGAAAAATTTATGAAAAAGAAAGCACCAAATCATAAAATATCTGGAAAGTATTACAGACTTCTAAAATGGAAGCTAAACATAGCATGCATTTTCAAATTGACTTGTTACCTTTTCAAAATAAAATAAATAAAATAAAATTCAAAATAAATTTCAAAATAAAATTTCAAACTATTTCTACAACTGATTTATCATCAAAGTATCTAATTTAACATTCTACATATATTAGCATACAAAATAAGAAGGGATGAAGAATGTGCTTACTACTCAACCTATATTGTTTACATGTCTGCGAACTGTTATATTAGTTGATCAAGGAAGAAATGGTGCTGGTAAAGCCAATGTCATAGCCTTGTCCACTTACTTGCATCTTCTCTTCTATGTTTATGGACTGCATCCTTAGCCTCAGTCTGCCACACTGCAAGTATAAGCTGTCAGTCAAATGAGGGACTGGGTGAGACAATGGGATGAACCATGCCCAATTTCTCACCATTTGAACACAATTTTGTGTGCATAGTGAGTTAGGAAAGCCACTTTGCTGGCTAAGGATAGAATGTGACATATTTTATCTTACTGTCAAAGTAATTTTCATAGATGTTCATAGGGTCATGGGATTTATTTATTTATTTTTTTAGCTAGAAGAGATTTTAGAGATAGGCAATCTAGTCCATCTTCCTCATTTTCCAGATGAGTTGGCCATAGTGGGGAAAGGTGGAGAAGAAACAAGGAAAAGCAGAGGCACTATTACATTCAACCCCCCAGATTCATTATTGTTGGGTAAATCGTGAGTTATTCCAAAAACTTTTACTATCATTATGAAGTAAGCTACCTAGTTATCATACTCCTCATGCTCACCTATTATGCAATTTTTAAAGGAAGGAACCAGTGAACCTGAGCACTGTAGTGGCTAAAAGAAATAACTATTAGATAGAATTATGTTGAGCAACATAAATAAGCACAGATATGTGGCTTCAAATTAACACGTACAACAGGCTCAACAGTACTTGCAGATGGAGAAGGAAGCCAGTTCATACGGAAATAGAAATAAGGAGGAAAGAAGAAATTCTCTATAAGGGATCAGAGTAAGGAAAATTAAAGACTCAGAGATATCTGAACCTTCAAAGAGAAAGAAGAAATTCAATAAGGATTTTCTAAGGAAGGCCTATCCTTTGATAATTAAGTTTATATTTTTGCTTTTTTGGAGAAATGACTTTAAGAGTTCTTGCTGTATTTTGCTGAAATGTTTCTCAACATAGTGACCAAAATATTTTTTTACATATCTTCTGTATGTGTTGTACTATTTATGCTTAATATGTATAAACTTGTTCTCTATTTAAAAATGTGAGATTATGAAATATTAGGCACAGAAGACTCTTCCATGAGCCTAGAACATTTACAATCTTTAACATGTTAATCAATGTGAAAGAAAAAAAAAGGCCCTAGAAATAACATGACAAAAAAAATTTTTAAAAGACAAACAACAAAAAAACCCCATGAAAATAAGTTTTCATACTAGGACTTACTTATCATAGGAATCCATTGCTATAACCCATTTGCATAGACCTTCTGCTGCTGTGGAAGCATTTCTAATCTTTTCCGGAACAAAGTCAGGATTTGGCAGATAATTTTTCCTAATGATATTCATGTATGCTGGAGGTATGTTGTCCTTGTCATATTCATGAAGTGACTGCAGAAATCTAATGTCACCAAGTAGTCTTTTAGCTGGACCCCAGAAGTCCTCTATTTTTTTTCCTGAGCCTGATGGATCAGGAATTTTATCTGCTTTGATTCCTTTCAAGATACATATAGCTTCCATAACAATCTTGACACCAGCAGGTGGACTCTTCATGGATTTTACCACTGTAATATCCTTTAAATAAAAACATTTCAATTACTACTGAAGAAATAGTCTGATAAAACTATGCATAACTTGTTCTTATTTTCAGATTGTGTAAAAATAGAAACTGTGCTTCCCTCATAATCTAAAATAAAAATTAGTTTTAAATTGCCTACCTACTTTTAAATCCCATCTTCCCTTATCCACTTGCCCTACAATTGAATTTCTTTAAATACTCTATCTCTTTGCCAAACATATTATATCAGTAATTAAATATAAAGCTAGTGGTGTGAATTTCTAATTCACTGTGTTAGCCTACAAATAAAAGTTGTTGTTCTGGCCACTAAGATAGAGTGTTGCACAGGAAGACATATCCATGAGTTTTAAGTCCTGATCCACATTCCTACTTAATGCATCTGTACAACCTCTTATTTACATATATTGACTTTTAAATCAACAAATCCATGAAAATCCATTTGAAAATTTTTGCAAGTTGTAAGGCACATGTGGATACAAGCTAATGTAATAATATTTACATTGAGGACCTGTTACTATCTATTATAATAACAAACCAGATTCTTGTGAGATCAATGAGTATCAGGTATCATAATTACCATTTAAGATTAAGGAAGACAATTTAGGGACAGAAGAGAAGGATGAAATGGTCAATCAAGAGACAGAAGAAATCAGACAAAAATAGTAAGGGTTCCCAGTGAGAAAAGGAGTAAAGCTTCAGTTCCCACAGGAGAAAACTGAAACTATAGAAGGGTTAACAAGAATTATAGTGTAAAATTGAACAAGGAAGAAATAGAAATTGGTAGGGCAAGGAAACTAATAGGAGATGATACAGAGTACAGAACCGTCTTATCCTAATCCAGGGGTGAGGAACCTGAAGCCTCGAGGCCCTCTAGGTTCTCAAGTGCAGCCCTTTGACTGAACCAAAGCCACAGCCCTGAACCCATAGCATTGCTTTACTTTCATCTCCTGGCTTGTATATCTGAGGGTGACTAGGTCAGAATATAGATGGAAACTGGATCCTGAGAAAATGGCAACATCTTCCCCAAATATTATTCTTTTTGTTTTGTTTTGTTTTGTTTCATTTTTTTGTGAGGCAATTGGGGTTAAGTGACTTGCCCCAAGTCACACAGCTAGTTCGTGTTATGTATCTGAGGCCAGATTTGAACTCAGGTCCTCCCGACTCCAAGGCCAATGTTCTATCTACTGTACCACCTAGCTGCCCCCCAAATATGATTCTTGATATTGATCCTGTCTTGTGGAAAGAGGAAGATTTCATTATTACTCTCAACTCCTGATTGACTCATTCAACTATGATAAAAGGGTCAAAGTCAGAGAGGGAAGAAAACAAAAGACCTAGGCATAGAAGCTAGAAGTCTCATCCTTACCCTCCTCTAGCTCTCAGATTCCAAATGCTGCCTTCCCAGTCTTGAGTGGAAGAAAGAATAAAGCTGAAAGTGCAAATAAATGAAAGACAATGGGGGCAAGAACTGAAAGACATGGAAGAAAGAACAGGCACTTGTACAGGTTCTGACAAAAATGAGTGACAGAACCGCCAGTGAGGTGAAAAAATGTTCCACAAGTGAAGTTGGCAACCTCAAAAAGGAAACAGCGCCCAAGGGAAATCAGCAGGTGGTGGTAACAAAACTAAAGATGTCCTAACCTCCTTTCAGTAGGATATAAGCTCCTTGAGGGCAAGGACTGTTTCAGGTTTTTTGTCTTTGTATCCTCAGTGCCTAGCACAAGGCCTGGAACATAGCAAGTGCTTAATAAATGCTTGTTTAGTTAATATAAATATCTACCCCTTCTGCTTTGGTAAATGTCTCTGTCTCTCTGTCTCTCTGTCTCTTTCTCTCTCTCACACACACACACACACACACACACACACACACACACACACACACACACACACACCCACTGAGAGGATCCCTCTCCTGGGCCTGAGGCAGCAG